CTCTACGGTCTTGCAGTGGCTTGACGGGCACACAGGTGAACGAACTGCAACGAGCCGTCATGATCGAAGCACACCCGAGCTATCATCTCCAACCAGGCCTTCCTCACGGGAGAAACACATGAGTCAGTGATGCAGCGCTTCCAAATTCCCGAGGTCGGCAGACATCCCTGTGGAGTTACGCCGAGCTGAGCAGGCCCAACTCCACTCCATTGACTGGATGTATGACACCCACTGGCAAGCCCATCTGTATCACAGGCTGGCCCGGGAAATCGTGGAGCCGGACTCTGACTCGGCTGACCGCTATGAGTGGGCGTGCCCTTTCTGTGAACGTCTTTACCCTACACAGGCTGCTCTCAAAGTACATGCTCGCAGAACACACCAACATGTGGATACGGAGCCCCTCATATTCAGTCGTACAGAGCACGCCCTGAATAGCCTGCCCACTTGTAGGTTCTGCCATAAGAAATTCAGCCGGTGGCAGACTTTGGCCCATCACATCACAAATAACCGCTGTACCAAGTACACCTCAGGCAGTCAGTGCTCAGCCGGACGCATCCCAACACACGACGGAAGGAACACAACAGCAGGAACCAGAATCACCATCTCAGCCGCTGTGTCGACAGGAACCAGTGCTTGCAAGGGTCTTAACTCTTTCATACAGCTGAAGGACATCGCCGCCAGGCTCCAACAAACATGTGCCTTATGTGGACAATGGGTGGCATCGCATCGTACCATGAAGCGTCACTGCCAGTACTCACTTCCAGAAGAAATTCAGGCGCACGGAAACCGCATTGCAGCTCTCATACAACGCACCGCCACAGCTTGCCCCACGTGCCACTTTTGTCATGTTCGGTGCAAGGACTGGAGAGAGCACATCAATAAATGCACAGTGATCTGACAGTGCGCTATCCTTTGTCTACGGCAGGACGGGAGAGGAAGAAATGGACGAGTTCTTCGGGCCTCTGCATTCGACAAGCCCGGGACCGATGCAGTTCCTACAGCCCAACAAGAGGTGCCGACCACCGACAGGAAGCTATCGACCGGAGCCCCAGCAGGAGCCCGACGTACTCATTACTTTAGCAAGGCAAGTGGTGTGCCAGGAAGAAGAGATAAAGCTTCTGAAACAAGATCACAGCCTGGTCCTACTCTTCAGGCCGGGCGAGCACACGATACTGGGATACATGTGCAACACTGCAAATGAGTTCAAAGCGAAGCAAGCAGCAAATCCCCAGTGGGCTCCCGGACAGCACCCTGTCAAAACCGTGATGGCTATTGCTCTCTTTACGGAACTGGGCAACCGACTGCAAAGTACATGCCAGGATCAGGCCAGGGCTACCAAGGCCAAGGATCGGTTGGAGGGATCCCACATCGGGGTGGACATTCCAACGATGGAATCCTCAGCTCAAGACTCTGGAGGAAGACGGAAGCCGTCCTCCCTTGACGGATCAGGACGTGGCGAATCACATTCAGAAGCTTTGTCAGGCCCTCGGACAGGACATCGTGCATCGGTTTCATTGCACGAGGAGAATGCCGGAAACGGCGGACACCCCAGCCGCCTTTCAGCTGGATCTTTCAATCAGGACACCGGCGGCTCTGGAGGCTTGGGGGTCTTTGCTGGCCCTACAGGGAAAGACAGTCCTGCAGCTGGGAAGCCCAGCCCGGCTCAAGGACATCCTACGAGGACGTTGAGGCTGGTTCTGACCAATTATCATCAGGCCGATGTATGCTACATGAACACCATCGTTCAGGTGATTCTATGGGTGCTTGAAGGCAATCCTGCTTTCCTTGAGCAGGAGCACATGGGGCCAGGCAAGTCCTTCTTTCGTGCATTGCTCCTACATGATCTTGCGCGCCCAAAAACCCTCCTGCAGGATATGCTGTGGCGTATGGTTACTGCTGGATGGGCCGAGTGCCACAGGCAACAAGATGCGGCCGAATTCCTTTCATATCTGGCGTGTAAACATCAATTTGGCTTGATGCAGGGGACCTGGCAAGCTCGGCGAGTTGTGGAGGATGGGGTTGTGGCAATCCGCGACCAGGGGTCGTGCACTCAACCACTCGTGCTCCGTTTACCGCCAGTCCCACCCGGGCTGAATCCATGCATCAAAATCAAGGTGCAGTCGCTGATTGACTATTGGTCAGGGGCACAGGAGAGTGTACATGCACTGCATTCTCCACCAACCCTCCGCGTGCTTCAGCTCGATCGTTTTGATCAACAATGTGGGCGCATCACGAAACGAGAGGACATCATAGAGCCGGACCGGGAGATCGTGGTGCCGATCTTTTCAGCAGGCGATCTCAACGTAGATGTCAAGCTCTACCGATTAACAGCTACCATCACACATCATAGCTCACATCCCCGCACGGGCCATTACACGACCTGCCTTTTGCAGGCAGAGACGATTTGGAACTGTGATGATAATCGGCCAGCCTGCTCTCTTGCACATTTTCCGGACTCCCATGCCAAAGGCTGCTATGTACTTTTCTATGAACTTCTCTCTACATTTTGATTCCGAAATCAGGGGACCATACTCAGGCCCTTCGGGGCGGTGGACCCCTTTTTGCTTCTGCAGTGAATCCGAGGCAGTAAACTGCGTGCCTGAAAAGCGCCGGGCTCTTTTGTCCGCTCTTGTTAACCGCCACCGGGCGGCCGACTCTCGACCGCTGTGCACAAAGCTGAACAAAGCTGCTACTCCTACTAGTACTACTGCTGCTGCTGCTGCTACTACTACTACTACTACTACTCCTGCTGCTGCTGCTGCTGCTGCTGCTACTCCTACTACTCCTGCTGCTACGACGACGACGACGACTACTACTACTACTACTAGTACTGCCTCCATTTTTGCTAGCTGTAACATTGACAATATGTATACGGATAAGCAAATGCTGCTGCTGCTGCTGCTGCCGCCGCCTTTATTGCCAGCACCAACCGCAACAACAAAGCCGGAAATCAAAACTGGTGCTCCTCTTTTATTTCAGGTCGGCTGGATCGAAGTTCCCCGCAGCATGAACTTCAGCGATAGCCTGGGGCCAAACTGTTTCGAGACGTTGAGTTTGCAGGGGTGGTGGCCGTTGAGTCTTTGGAGCTGCGTTTGGCTTCTTCCCTATTTTGTGAACACTCATCGTCATCAGGGTTCAATCTGGGCGAAGGGTCCTCGTGCAATTGCGCTGTCACCGCAAAGGCTACTACTGGACGGCGGAGTATGGCGATGAAGGCTCCTGCCCCATGGTGGCAGGACACCCAGCCGCATCGTCGGTCGAGCATACTCTCTTCCAACCTGGCACTATATATATAGATGGTCATCTCCTGTTTCTTCGCACCCCAGCCGTGGCATACTAAGTATATTGCTACTCAGTATGAGTGATACCCACCGAAGCAGCAGCGGTGATGATCGTCAGCATTGCAACAAATACAATGAAGGTACTAGGAACTGATGGTCGTATCCACGATCATGTGGTTGGCAAGGTATCCACATCGTTGGTGATAATGCTAACGGTGGCAATACTGTTGACAAAGATAATCATGATAATCGGAGGATGCTTTTCTTGTACTTTTGCCATTGAAGCAATCCCTTTTCTTGGCGGAAAAGGCAGCCCAGGGTGTGCTGCTCTAGTTTCGGCATCTTCCGCTTGCAGCAAGGTCGATGCTACATGTCTTTCTTTGTTGCGGCTTTAGGGTTGCAGGAGTTTAGGGTCTGTGCACGGTTTATCTTTCCATAGCAATGTGCAGCGAGAGTTAAGATCCTTACCATCCGAAGTCCCAAGCCTCTAGACCCCGAAGCCCTTGAGTACGTCCCTTACGATTGCTTCCCGAAGCTTGCGACAAAGGAACGAGCCGGTTCATGGGACTTTCTCTTCGTAGGTGATCTCTTGGGACCCGGTTGCGAGGACTCCTTCCCTCAAGGCACAGGGCTTTCATGGGGAGCTACGAAGACGCCATTTCGTGAGTCCGGAAGCCAAGGTGTAAAACCCGGGAGATAGAACAGTATGCTCAGCCGCCACTCCCAAAGACCAAAGCTGAAAGACTTAAAGTCAGGGATGTTCAATCCGGTCTTCTCGCAACCTGAACCCTGTTTCTTCGACCCTATGAGGCTGGCCCAGAGTTCTGGCAGGCCAACTGGTGAGTCTGGGTGTTGTTTTGTCTCGGCTTGTGGTTTTCGGTTTCTGGCTGTGGCGCGCAAGAGGTTTGAGGTCAAGGAGTTCTAGTCGTCAGTGACGTTGGGATTGCGTGCAGGCAGCTGGTTTTGTTGGGCATGATGACTCCGGCTTTTTCGGAGTCCTGACCCACGTAGTAAAGCTTCTTACTGTTGTTCAGTCCTGCTGCCGTTGTTTCTGCTACTGCTACTGCTACTGCCACTGCCACTGCTGCTGCTGCTGCGACTCCTGTGACTCCTGCTACTCCTCCTGCTGCTGCCTAGAATGGTGGGCCGCGGACCAACGAATGGGGCAACGCGACCAAGGGATGTCCTCACAGGGCCCAACAAGACTCCCAACAAGTCAAAACTGGAATATCTAGCGGTTGACACACTCATCACATCGCATCGCTCAGACTACCGCGAAGGTCCCGGCACCTGCCAGCGAGCCTGAATGGGCTGAGCTTTGACCCCAGCATGGCAGCTTCACGTATGTTGTTTCGTACCACAGAGTTTTCCGTGGTGAGATTGCATTGTAGTGACAGACCTGTACCTCCCATGATAGCATTTGGGTTCTGGCTTTTGACGATGCAGGCCTCTAAATCTTAGCAGTTGGGGACCTCGTGTAAAGGTGGAGCTTCGTATCATGGCGGCTGTGAGGACGGCATGTGTTTTTGGGATCATGCCGTTTTCCTGGTCCTTGGAGAGGTTTCATCGTAGATCCTGCAAGCCTGCCGTACTGCGCCACGAAACCTAAATTTGGGCTTGGACTTACAATGCGCGTCTCGCCTCCCGCCGCCTTCTTCAGCGGTTCTTGCGGGGATCCCCGCTGCTCGCCCCTCCCGGCGCCCCGGGCGATCCGGGGCCATGCGCATCTTCGTGCGCTCTGTCGAGGGACAAACCTCCGCTCTCGAGGTGCCGGGCCGAGCAGGGAGGTGGGCCTTCTTTTCGGAGAGCTCCTTTCTGAGCGCAGTCACCTGAGGTAGAGTTCAAGTGTGGCCACACGGCAGAAGCACCGAGCCGCATCCACGTTGCAGGTCGATGGGCAGGCGGAGGTTCAGGCCGTGAAAGCTACGCACCTGGGAAGCAGCAGGTGCTGAAACTGTAAGATTCGGGGTCATGGCTGATCACCTCTAGCTGCTTTGACTTCTTTTCGCGCTTTCGCACTTCGGTGACCTGGGCTGAGAGGTGAGAGAGGCCTGCTTGTCATGATAACGTTCCCATGGCTCCTTTAGACTCTGAAGACCCCGAAACGAAATCCAAAAGCCCGAATCCCCGAGGATCGCTTCCCTCTCCGGTGTGCCGGCAGAGGAGTGGAAGAAGTTGGGTGCTTTGGGTCTTTGGAGAGCAGAGTAGAAGAACGAAGTACCCTGTCAGTGGGTGCCACTCGTAGACTTAGACGGGAGAGGCACTTCACAGATGTGCGTTTTGGGGTAGCCTTGAAAGGAAGAGGCTCGCTGAAGTCTCCTGCGGAGGTTTCTTGCGGGACACAGGGCCGCATCACGGAAGGATCGGCCCCAGTTGGCTGTTAGAGCCCCAAACCCTGAAGATTGGACCCTAAACCCTAAAGGCCCTTATAAGCCCCTCGTCCAAGCCCCCGGAGCCAAGCGGAAACTCCACGAGGAGCAGGTGTTGAGCTACGGAGGCCTTAGCCTCGGCACCCGTGTGGGTACTGCAGAGTTGGGGGGCTCCTGCTTTGCTGTTTCGGGCCGTGTTCTTCCTTGTCTCGATTGCAGCGGCTAAACGGTTCAGACTTTCGGATGCTGGCAGCCACTCCTCGAAGAACCCAAAAGCCCCAATCACAACTTCCAACCTCACGGAGATCAAACTGCCCATGTGGTGTTTCCACCGAATTTTTGTGGTCGCAGAGGCTTCAGAATGACACGAGATCGACCGTCGCTCATGTGCACCGTTTACAGGTTGTGCTCCAATCCTGTACGTCTCCAGAAGCACTGAGCCCACACCTCCCTAAGGCAGCCCTGGAGGCAACATAAACCCACACTTCACGTTGTCCTAAACTCTAAGCCGTGAGCAACTCTGTAGAGGGACCGGGAGCAGTGGGGGCCCAGGGACCATCCTCGACTCCGCGGCACGCCTGGCGGATTGCGGAGTCGAGGCGACTGCCGACGGGCTTAGGGAATGACACTTGTTGGCGGCTTAAGAACTTGGGTTCTTGCTTAAGGAATTGTGCTTGAGGGAGTTGGGTTGCAGGAAGAGATCTTTGGAAGGTGCTACTGCTTGCTATTCTTTAAATCCTGGTGCCCGCATGTTGGGTGCAAGGTCACCTCCGGTTTGAAAGCCAGGACTTCCTAGAGGTAGTCTCTTTGAGGCCTCCGACGGGAAATGCAAGAAATGAGTAAGCGTGCCAGGTTCCTTGCATGAACCCATAATCCGACCCCCAGCGTTGCTACAATTTAGAAGGGTAAGAGCTACCCTAAACCCTCTAAACTCTAAAACTGCTTCCAGAAACCTGAACTGGTTGGTCTGGACTATCGTTTCAACAGTTGATTCGCAAACCTCAGACAAACGAAGACTGACCTCGGCCGCTACATGGGGACTGGTTTGTTGCGAGTACCAACTCAATCCTCCAAGTAATGCACGGAGTTGCGACTTCTCGCGGTCGGTTGTAGGGGAGGACTTCTGCTTTTTCCTTGCACTACAGAGCGGGATTTCGGCCAAGCTGTCGAGGTATCGGGGTTGGGACAACAGGAAGCCCTCCGGGGTGCTCTCGATCTGAACGCCACACTGTGTGAAATTGTCCTGATCCCAATCGCCCCAACGAAACCTCTCCTTAATCAAACCGGCAAAGCCGTGCTCTGTCCGAAACAAAGCCACTTCCACCGTTCCCATTCGCCCATAGTTCCCGCTAGAAAAAAGGGAGCTTGCTTATTAGAAGAGGGCTCTGGGGTTTCTCACACTATACTCCATAATCAGGAACCCCAGCTTTCCTAAACGGGATACCACTACCAGTTCCTGAAGCTTCTACATTCGGGACAAAAGACAACCCCCTCAACCCTAAACCGTAGAGGCCCTAAAGATCTTGACCAGGACGAGGCGACTCTCTTCGTCTCCCTCGAGTTGCCACCGGAATCGAATTAGGATTTCTGATTCTCATAATAAGTATAATCAACCCCCCTAAGCTCTATTCTAATTACCGGGTTCGGATTGGTTTTTGGTCTTGAAGCGGAGCCTGGAGCCCGAAATCAAAGTGCGGAGCTGCAGAGCTTCGAGCTGAAGGGACTGGGCCCCATGTCGTATGAATTGCCCCCAGGTCCCTGAGACCCTAAAGGAGGCCTCGTAAGCCGCAGCGGCCAGCCACATCAGTCTCACCATCCGGGAGCCCAGGCAGGGCGGCGGCAAGAAGCGCAAGAAGAAGACCTACACCAAGCCGAAGAAGTGTCCCAGCTTTGGTTTGGGGGAGATCCTTCGGTAGAGTCTCTTGTTCGTTGAAGTCATGCTTAGCAGCCGATGACTATTGCATATCACAGCTCCATTCGCATTTTGCTTCCTAGCTCCCTTTGGCCTTGTCGTTGTCTCGGGAGCACCGGCGTGTAGTCAGATCTCCAAGGTCATGGACTACCTAAGCTCAAAACCCTGATCCCTGCCCTACAAGCAGTTTTTGCACACCCCACAACATCTGGAGCGCCCACTGAGGATCAAGCACAAGCGCAAGAAGGTGAAGCTTGCAGTTCTGAAGTTCTACAAGGCGGGTCAGTCGGGGGGTCAGCTCCGAAGCATCGACCAAACGCCTGCGTCATCCGAAGCTTTGGCTCATTGACATGCCTTAGAGATATTCGCTATACTAGACTCTGAGACCCATACACACCGCATGGCACCAGACTTCGTCCTTACATAATGTTTTTGACTATGTCACTATGATGCACTGAGATGATCTGAGATGTTCTACATGCAGTAGCACCAGTTATATCAACGGTAGTACTGGTAGCACCAGTGGCTGCAACAGTGGTTGACATGCCGGGCACGCATTGTCCCTGCGAGCAAGGTGGATTCTAACGACAAGGTCACACGCTTGCGCCGAGAGTGTCCGCACGAGACCTGCGGCCCCGGAGTTTTCATGGCCGCTGGGTTTTTGACAGTGGTGCAGTGGTTCCTTTTGGACAAGCAGATGTATGTGTTAGTCTGTGCGCGAGACTTGTTTATGAAAGTTTGTGCAAGATGTAACCCGGATGTCAGATTCAGAAGCAAGGTTCAACATAAAGTGAAGGGACTGTCGATCCGCGGGTAGCAGAATTTGGTCAACGTCTGCGGTTTTGAGTCTGTTGGATGGTTGCTGTTTGCTCTGGCTCTGTGGCTGGTCTCAGGGCTGTAGTGGCGTGATCCCTCACAGATAGTGGTTTTAGATTTGTAGGTTTTTGGGTATTTGGGTTTAGGCCTTGTTAGACATGGGATGGGATGGGGCCCTGGTGGTGGCTGAGGCCATGCACTTCAACCGCTACTACTGCGGCAAGTGCCACCTCACCTACTTGATCAAGAAGGACCTGCCGCCACCGCTCGAAGCTTCCAAACCAGCCCCTCCGCAAGAACCGGGCAGAAGATCAACATACAGTAAGGATGTTGATGACCTACCGCTGGGCACTCTCCCTCAACGAAGCTTCCGAACTAGCTGGAAGACGGTGAGCAAGACGTTGAACATGCGTCGCCGTTCCAATGCGGACATCAAGAAGAAGAGTCAGACAACTGCTAGTACCCGCTACTGCCAGTAAACCACGGCCATTGGAACGACGCATATCTGTGGTGTCCTCGTCTGAAAATATCCGTAGCTGTACATCTACAACCACCGCAACCTTCCCTCACAATCGTGTTGAGTCATGCTGGCAAACCCGTTCCTGCTCTGTGCAGGACGAGAAGTAAGAGCTGGAGAGGGGCACCTGGTACTCGCAAGAGGTTAAAAGAACGACCGACAGGGGTGGGGTTTGAGCTTGGAGTGTTTTCTCACGAGCGGTTTGAGAAGTCCACGAATACGATAATGGAAACATAAATCCACCGACACTCGACATTGCAGGAGCACTGATGATCATGATCCGGAAGATGATGACCTTGGCAATGATGATGATTGTGACGACGGTGGGCATGACGAGGATGATGCTGACAATAGCGATAGCTGAAACGAATGTTCGCAGCGATACAGCACTAGAAAGGCTACCAGCATTTGAAAATTATGTTGGCTTACTTGCGTCAGCCTTCCTTGAATACTTCTCCTTTGGTTCCTGCCCCACCTGCCAACCGGCAGCCCGATGGTGCTCTGAGCTGCCACGCTAAAGCTTCAACCCGAACTCCACAGGTGAATCCCCCAAACTCCCGGTCCCTCAACCAAGCCTCAGCCTGATAGGCATTCTAACAGCAAGCACAGTTGCTAGAGGAAAAGGGGCGACAAAAAAAAGCCTGTGGATTTCCGAATTCCGCCGTTCCTGGCAGCCTTTGGACCGCCCTGCACGGTCCGTGGGCGGCTTCGGTGCCCCCAGGAACCAAATCCTACTTCGGCGGTTTTTAAACTAGGTTTGAGTCATAATAGGGGGAACCATGGGGAATCATGATGAACAACTCTGAGCCCTTTGAACCTTCGAGTCGTTGTGCCATCGTGCTTCCAAGAGTCTTCTCCTAGGCTCCAAGGCTCCAACATCCCCGCGTCACCTTGGCACGTAGCAGAGGTGGGCCGGGCTTGTGGGTAGTGTGTGGGGTCTGTGGGGATTGAAGTTTCATGCGGCCGGGGATTCTTGTCCAAGTCGCTAGATGTGCTGCCATGTCAAACAAAGGCCCCTGATCCCAGGAGCTTTGACCGAAGTTCAGAGACCCTGTAAACGCGACCCCGATCGGAGAAATCACGATGAGCATCGTGTGATCATGTTCCTGTATACTGCATGCATGTGGTTTGTTGTTTTTGTTGTCGCTGTTCTTAGAGCAAGGCAGCATCGCGAGTAAGATCTGTTTCTGGTCATCATGGCTGCAGGCACCCTTGCACCCTCAAACTAAAAATGAAACCTAAGCCTAAGGCATAACAAAAGCACAGGCGGCTGTTGTGGTGATGCTGGTGCTGGTGGCTTTCGTCAAGGTGCGTTCTGATCGCAAAAGCCGCGCTTCTAGGATCTGGGCTCGGTGCCTCGACTCCTGGTTCGACTTTCAAGGCTGTCTAGGTCGCAGAAACGCGGAGAAGCCAAGTCGCCAAAATCAAGCCCACAATCTCGAACCGGAAGTTAGATAACACAACATTCCATGGGAATGTCTCAGCAAGCCGAAACACCTGCAAGCCCCCGGAGTCTGAGTTCCCACCCCCCACGCCCATACTCCCTGAGTCCCCCCGAAGCCAGGCCGCCAGGGTTCGTGCTTCTTGAGTTTAGGTGGAGGCCTAGACGAGGTTCAAGAACCATCCTTACATACAGCTCCTCAGGCCAACAAGCCCCATAGAACAGTTTGACCCCACGAGCCCTTTTCCAACCCTAACCCCAAACCCCGTAAAAACCTCGAAGCCCTTCACCAGCTCGCGTCCATCCACGTAGCCGAGCTTTGAGAAGCAGGGACGGCGACCCGCCTGCTCGGGCCCGGAGGGTCGATACATCGAGCTCATCGAGGCCCTCCGCAAAGCTTTTTCGATGGGATTTGAAAGGGTTATGATAAGGCTTCCTATAAGGGCCAGTATGAGGGTTACTATCCGGTTGCTAGGGGGGTTGTATGGGATTGTTAGAGGTTCAAGATTTCTGCTTTGGGTTTCGGCTTTGGATTTCAGGTTCTGGCTTTCAGATGGCGTTTCTTTTATTCGAGGCCTTCCAGGTCGGTTGCCACTAAGGTTGGCTCGATCGATGTTTTGAGTGAGGGTGGTCATGGATGTTGGGTGGCTTTAGGGTCCCTTGCGACTAGGGTGCAGCTCGTGACTTCTGGCAGGCTCGGTGGGCCGTGAATATGAACAATAATGCTCTCGCCTGCAGTGTCAACCCACATGGCAAGGCGCTAATTTCTAACATGTCTCTTCACCGGGAACTCGCGTATCGGCAAGCTCTGTGCTTTTGCGCAGCCCCGCCTCGGTGCAGTTTCGTTGGAGTCTTGACGTTGCTCCAGTTGTAATTGTGGTCGCCCGCGGCCCGCCCCTCTTACTTAGACTTGTCTTCGGGTGGTCCCGACAAGTTCAGACTGCAAGACACGCGGTGTTGGTCAATGCACATCATATACATATATACATATAATCAGGAGCCGACAGCCTCAAGCAGCCCCATTCCCCAAACCCTGAAAACCCCAGAAGCCGCCCGCGTCCCTGAGGTTTGAGCATGTTTGAGGACGCAAGCATGCCGCAAGTACTCCTCGACCCGGACCCAAAGCCTGAATCCAGAGCCTTAAGTTCTCCATCCTCAACCTTAAGACCAAACCCCTAAATGCGTGAGATGTAGAACGTAGGGCTCAGAAGCTCCTTCCGCGAAGCGGCCGGTGCTCACTGCAAGCTGTGGCCGGAGGGACGCCATGCTTGGCCTTGCTGATGTTCTATGTAAGCCCTTATGTTTGTAAGGTGTAGGGTTTAGGGTTGAGGGTTTAGGGGGATCCGTTTACGAACGTGCTCAAGTTGAAGCATTACGCCCTAAGCCCTAAACCCCATACAGCTGTCAGTAAACTTTTGCTGGCGATCCTCTGACCTTTTCCGATAGAGCCGCTGCAGGTGGCCGAATTCACGGGGCTTGATCATGGAGCGCAAAGGGGAAAGCATGTAGATAGGTTAAGGACAAGCCTATTACTACTAGCACTATGACCAGTGCCATTGCAGTTACCGCTGCCATTGCTATTGCCATTGCTATTGCTATCTGCTATTGCCGTTACAACTGCTGACACTAGCACTAGCACTGGCACTAGTACCTCACTCTCACTCGCAATCCCACTTCTACTCTGACTCTGACCGCTTGATCTTACTGTCAATAGTTCTATTCCTATTACTACTAGTTTTCTAACACGGCGACGATGACGACGACGGCTTCGACGACTACGACGACGACTACGACGACGATGACGACGACGACGACGACGACTACGACGACTACGACGACGACTACGACTACGACGACGACGACGACGACTACCACTACCACTACCACTACCACTACCACTACCCCTACCGCTACCGCTACCGCT